TTTATGGCCTTATTTTTCGAAAAATGATCTACATGCAACTTTCTAGAAATTGGTTAAATAAAGTTAAATTAGATAAAGTTTAAACAAAAGGATTTTATTATCATAGACATGAATACAAAAAAGTTAAATTAGATAAAGTTTAAACAAAAGGATTTTATTATCATAGACATGAATACAAAAAAGATGGCGCGTAACGGAAAAATGTGACGCGTAACCGAAAAATGTGACGGTAAATTTTTTTCCAACGCCGATAAGGAAGTTTCACTTCAAAAATATATAAAATAAATAAATTAAAATAAGTACACTGATTATAAAAAATAAATAATATGTAAATTTATTAAATATACCGAATAAATACTTAATTAATTAACTTAGATTATTTACTTAACTAACCTAGATGTTAACTTTTTGTGGTTTATGGTTTAATATTTGAAATTGAACTGTTCAATGGTCTGTCTGCCTTACTGCTGAATATGCTCTACAGCGCCATGACATGTTCTTCGTCAAATCAGGCTTAAGAAGCGTACACAGTAATAGGTGCAACTCGACTAGTCTATTGTCAGTGTCCACGAGTGACACCCGGATCAGGTCGATACTATGCTTACCATGTTAATATATTTTTTTCCTACCAACCTGATAGCATTGAGAGGTTATTTCAGTGTAACCTTAACTAGTAGGTGAGCTCGCGGGGCTCAAACCGGAGTGATGCTAACACTGACCCTAGCAAGAACCGTGCTTCGTAGAATCTACTACCGGATCGGAAACTCGTCCCACTGAGAAGATCCGGCGAGAAACTCAGTGGGCTGTGTCTGTGGGTTAATTTACTCGCCGAGCCGTTCGTCGCAAGCGACGGGTTCGACGAGAACGATGACCGGTGCCTGTGGTACCTAAAAGCACCGTTAGTGGATCGGGAGGATCCGAGATGACGTGTTTTGGGCGACGTCGACTGCTTTCCATTCTGTCCGCAGGATCGGGAATGTAGTTACCGGCGGCCACGATGAGAGGGTTCTCGTGTCGTGCCGCTTTATCGAAGTGGCATGTTAATAAAAAATGGCTCGTGTATTTCAGGTGGAGGAGGTGTTGAGCGTCTTGAAGCCGATAACCCAGGCCGTGCAGCTGCTGCAGGCCAGGAAATCCATGCAGGACGTGCAGAGCACCGTGGACATGTGCTCCAACCTGACCGCCATGCAAGTCTGCAAGGTACGGAACCTGGCACGCGAGGTTTTCGGTAGGCAGCGGCTCGGCTCTGCCCCTGGCATTGCTGAAGTCCATGGGCGACGGTAACCACTCACAATCAGGCGGTTTGCTCGTCTGCCTACAAGGGAAATTAAAAAAAAGGACGACTCGATAAAAGTTGACACTAATATTCTCTTTACACTGCTGGCTCTCGCGTGACGTCAGAGGATTGAAATAACAGCCGCTTATATCATCAGACTGACCAGGTCTCCAAACTAGATGGCATCGATCTTGTGGGTCCGCGCGGGTAGGTACCACCACCCCGCCTATTTCTGCCGTGAAGTAGTAATGCGTTTCGGTCTGAAGGGTGGGGCAGCCGTTGTAACTATACTGGGACTTTAGAACTTATATCTCCAAAGTGGGTGACGCATTTACGTTGTAGATGTCTATGGGCTTCAGTAACAACTTAACACCGGATGGGCTGTGAGCTCGTCCATCCATCTAAGCAATAAAAAAAAATGCTGTGAGATATAGGGTTGGACTAGTGGTTACCCAGTCTTGCGCGCTCACACTGCGCCTTACCATCAGGGGGGCATACGATCAATGATGGTGTAGCTGTTTCCGAGACGGTTAACCTATCGCCCATTAAACTATTAAAAATGTGTGCGGTGCAATCTCGAAATAAAAACCTCAATAATATTCTATCTCGTTCTCTCGTAAGCTAAATCCTATGTTTGTCTATTTCTTGTTTCACCGAATTTCAAATCAAAATGGTCCTAAAAAAGTTTTATCATAAGAAAAAATGCTGACAATGAAAATTTTCCGTCTAGATTCTAAACATGTACACACCAGCCGAAGAGTACGAGGTGAAGGTGACGCGGGAGTTCATTCACGAGATCCAGAAGAAGATGCAGGAGAAGGCCGGCTCCAATCCGGACAAGGAACCCGTGAGTTTTTTTTTTAAGTGATTTTATGACCTGGTAACTAAGACCTTTAAGTCATGTCTTACTTTAGTTTATATTCTTAATTTTGTGAGAAATAATGAAATGAAATGAAGATAATTAATTTGAGACATTAATCAACTGGGATGAAATCAAATGAAATGAGATGAGATGATATGGGATGAAATATAATTATTGATTATAATTAAGAAACAAAGCCGCTGGACGTAACTTCTCGGGATCCTCCAAAAAGTCCGCTGAAAAAATCTCAGTAAATTACCATCATTTTACTGAGATTGTTTATCATCCCATATCATCTCATCTCATTTGATTTAATTTCATTTCACTCCATATTATCATTTTTAATAAAAATAAGAATTTTAATTAAAATAAAACATGACTTAAAGGTCTTAGTTACCAGGTCATAAAGTCCTTTAAAAAACAATACACTAGCGCCATGCGAAATTGACCGATAATTAATAAATTTTGTTACAGCAAAACCTACTGATGAACTCCAAGATGATATTCTCCGTACAATTCCCATTCAACCCCTCACCGATACGACTGGAGGCGGTCGAGCTCCCGGAGATATTGGAGCTAGATGGCGTACTCACCAAAATATAATCTACCGCCATAGGAATAAGGTTGAATTTGAGCCCCAACGTTTTGTTTAATTCCCTCATTAGTTGAGAATCGAAAGGCCTAGTCCGTCTCTCTCGCTCGCCAGCAGATAGGAAAGAGACAGACATGCTTTTGAACGTCGACTGTGAAAATATTGTTATGTACTTAAAGATTTATATTATTAGTTGATTCACTCTTTGATTAGTTACTTTAGAGAAATATAGACCTTAGTTTAATGTTGTTAAGGTTGATTGTTAGTTGTTAATAAGTTTAGGTGGGGACTCGATAGTCTGAGAATTATTTTGTAAATCACATACTAGGTCATTAAATAACAATTCTGATTCTGATTATTCAATACAATTTCTATGGACGTTTTTTTTCGGGCTTCCTATTCGTTTCCGTGTATACCTTGACATGTCAACTGACAAGACCAGAAATGTAGTTTCGGATGATCGCGTCTCCACCGATACTAAGCTCTTGATTTGCTCATCGAATTATATTTATTTGTGATATACAACGTTTTTATCGCCGACAGAACTGCGAAAGCTCTGTAATATTATTAAAATTTTTAGCTAGATTCAGTCGTATTGATCACTATACAGGGTGTGTTCGAATCGTTCCTGTAATTGAAGGCAGATTAGCTGTCGACATTAGGGAAGATCGAGATGGTTCGATCTAATCCGCACCACACTAGGGATTCCATTCCACGAAGTCCTTCATGTGGGTAATGATCGGAGGCGCTGGAGGGACTGGTGGGCCGTATGCGCGTCTGCCTACAAGGGTAATAAAAAAAAATAGAATCCTGTCAAAACATGATGGTCACGACCCTCAGCAGTGAGGAAACTACGCGAGGAAGAGAGACGTCGACCGCAATGGCATCATGTTTGACAGCTTTGAATTGCACGCAATGTATTATCAAGTAAACGTCATGTGACTCGAAGGGTCATCGACCTCGCAGTGCACGAAATATGCTCATACAAAAATGATGTATATACAGGGTGTCCCAAAAAGAATGGATAATCCTGAAACACCTCATAGTAGAGCTATTGGGGTCACAAAAAAAAATTCTCAGGTAGTAAGTACCCAAATTACGTATGTATTTAAAAAAAAGTTGATATTTTTCATACCGTTGTGAGTTTCTGGAATATACAACAGCTACAAATAAATGAAATCCATAGGCTTTTTGGTGTTTTAATATTCTACATGGACTTATACTAAGGAATATGCAAGAAATCATATGAGTAGCTAGTGTAATTTTTTATAAAAGTTAACCTGAACCTTAATTTTAATCATAAGATTTAGTATTTTTTCTTTAATTTTAATTTGGGTACTACCTAAGAATTTTTTTTGTGTGTCCCCTATAGCTCTACTATGTGTTTCAGGATTATTCATACTTTCTGGGACACCCTATATATTTTCTTGTACAAAGTATAGGCGACCGCAATTCGGTTATCAGTGTCTTTAAAGAAACAATCAAAATATAAATGACGCCTAGAAAATAAACATATACAAATAAATATATAGATAAATTCACGATTAGTCAATGAAGATTGTTTTTGTTAACTTTAAATATTAGCTTCTTTGCGGTTCGGCTTTGAAAACGTTTTCATCACACCCTGTATACAATACATCACTTAAGCAGCCCTGGGAGCCATTTTTAAACACTGCCTTAACCACAATTGTGTCCGGAATGCTTCACCCCGGCCTTTAACATTGTCAGTACTTATATTTTTTTTTTCTAATCAAAATGCACTTGGAATGTTCCGAATTTAGTATGTGGATACTAAATTTAGATTGCATAGACATGCGTGTGAGTTTGACACTAAAGTGTGACAAGTCTGGTCTGGACTGAAGGAGTTTCCAACAGGTACCACTCACCATCAGGTGGGGCGTAAGCTCGGCTTACACGGGCAATAAAAAAAATTAAATATATAATGTGGAATATATTATTGAAACTGACTTAAAGTTTTGAGACAAGACTGGTTCATGAAAACGGAGAGGGTATGCTCTATCTTGCTCTCAGTTTTGTATACAACTTGAACTCTGACGTCATTGTACAATATCATGTCTGTAGTATGAAATTTAAGTTTTATTATTCTAAAGAAATGTACTCTTTGTTTTTTTTTATCGAATTAATTTTATTTTATTTGTGAAAGCAAAATATATACAAAACGGAATTTCTTTTCACAGACTTGTTGCACTTTGGTTCTGAATTGTCTTGTTTGTTAAGGCGAGTGTATAAAATATATATTTAACAATGTTTCAGAGATGAGAATCAAGATAAACGAAATTAAAATTTGAAAGATCAAATCTGGTAAAAGTACACTCGCTTTAAAAAAAAAATATTTAAAATAAAACATGCTATTATTTATTTCTTTATAGGTATAATAATTTTTTAGCATTTTAAGTGTTGTAACGAAACATTCCGTAAAGTATGCCATTTTTATAAAAATAATTAGGTGCCATTGTGAGATAACATAGAATTTCTAATTAACTGTTTGGGTAAAGAAATAAATTATTATATGAAACACGCATTCCAACGATATAAGTGATATAAAATGTAATTGCAAATAAGCATATTATGTAGTTGCATAATATGTAACAATAATAAATTTAAATATCATATTTTTAAAGAATAAATTTAATAGATTTTTATTATTATTATAGTTATAGTTATTAGTTTGGTTCATTTACGTAATATCGCAAAGGAAATCTTTAAATCTATTCTGACTTTATAAGAAGACTTTCCTTAATTAGAAGAATTTAATTATCAGTTTTTTTTTTTTTTTCAAAATTACTTTCGAACAAAATCCCGTTCGAATCAGATAACAGATCGTTAGCCATTTTCCATTATTGATATTTTTCTATATTTTGAGAATTACGTGTCGCTGGAACGTTAGCAGTGTTTGCTCTATCCAGATACTCTTTGGTCGGCAATGTAGACAGTGACGTCTTTTGACAGCTCGCGCATTTTAGCGGGAAATTTTGAAAATCGTATTTATGGATTTTTTTTCATTAAATTTTTAGGTTTATAACTTTTTTGTGATTATAAAAAATATATCTTCAAATTCAGATTTTTTTAGGATATTATTTTGGAAGGTAAAATTTCAATAGTTCTTGACTTTTTGTAAGTAACGTGTTTTTTTTTTTTAAACCCGATTTTCAAATTAACATTACTTCGTTCTCAATTCGTGACGTATGTGTCTTTGCTGATCGATGAGTTACGAAAAAGTTTGCCTGTGCTTTCTGGCATGCTTAGGCAGGTAGATCTGGTCGTGATCGGCCATAACGGAATCCATAAACGTCTTCAAGTCCTCGTGGCCTTAAGGTAAGAGACTCCATGCTGGTATTAAAAACGCGCGAAGAAACATCAGTTTTTCTAATAAAATTCACATGTTCGCTTCCACGGCGAAGGAATATCATCGTGTAATCAAATTCGCAAAGTTTGTTAGTAATTAATGGTGGTAGGTCGTCTTCTGAGTCCACACGGGTAGGTACCACCAGCGTGCCTATTTCCGGTCTTCTGTCAGATAATCCTCGATGCAGAAGTTGAGTTTGCTCGTAAACTTAACGCAGTTTTTTGATTATAACCCACAAATGAGGTCTCGCAAGATTTTTGCTAGAACATTCCTAGTGTTGCCTTTTTGAAAATCGTTTTTACGTCACTGTTATTATTTTGATGGTTTTTTTTTTTGTGTTATTGTTTTTATAAACACGTATATTTTTTAGAACGGAATTGTTGCTAGCCGCGTTTTCGAATAGCATTATTGTGGAGAAGTTGTATCGTTTATATTGAAGTAGCTACGTCGTGTTTGTACGGCATGAGGCTGGTCGTCTTGGGCCCGATGTTTTCGCCGAAGTTGCTTATTCCACCCGAAGTACTTCTTATCAGTTCACAGAAGTCTACTGCTTTCCATAGGCCTCCCTCGAAACTCGCCACAAAGATCGGCCCTGCGCTGACTGCATTCAGCTGATCCCCGCGAACTTCAATATGCCTTCGTTCCATCTTGTGAGAGGTCTTCCGATACGCGGTCGCCACTCAAGAACTTTCCGGCCCCAACCGCCATCCGTTCTCATATTATTATCTGACAGCAATGTAAACCGTGTTTGTTTATTAAGCCATTTTTTTCTTAACCTTTTTAGTGTTGAGCTTATTTTTACATATTTTGGAGAAATTGTTAAGATTTTTCGAAGAAAAAAAGTTCCTTAATAATGAAGTGTGCACAGAATCTTAATTATTTTCCTCAAATGTAGATGAATGTTCGGTTGGATTATAAATGTTGTTAATTTGTTAGAAATGTTTTACATTCGCGCGCTAAGACACATCTGATACCTATAATCAAACTGCGCAATAGTCGGTATTCCGACGCTTCGCATTTTATGCGCGTTAATAGAGAGTCGATTTATCGACGGTTCGCGCTCTAAGGATTAATATTATTGTCTCACGATTAGTTCAGATTATATTTATGTTTCAAATTAATTCATGTTAAGTTTACCTACGTTATTATTATTATTTATTTAATGGAACAGTGTTACCATAATAGAAATTGTGAGGTGCTTCGATATGGCAACATTTAGTGTTGTCATATATTGTAGTTGTTTTTTTCTTTCTAGTTTACATCTTTTCGTTTATTACAATCGTGTGGTTTATTTTTTAATTTCATATCATTCATTCGAGAAGAAAACTTAGTCCATACTAAACTAGAAGTATAGGTATCGATCGAAAATTCAATTTAAAAAATTTAAGTGACAAATTGATATAGTCTATGTTCAAACGCATTTTATATTAATTTTTTTATTAATGCAAATTCTATATAAGACACAAGTTTTTATATCATGCAGCCACGCGTGCCGGTTAAGGCGCATGTCGTATATAATACCGGCTCCACACGTTGGCCATTTTGGACATTACTACCAACGTTGAGCGGTTAAATTGATGAATAAGTGTCCACACGCTGGCTGTTATACCTACTAATTCCTTTCCGTTAGATCCAACGCCAGAA